AGTTGATTCTGACTCACAGCGCCCCTAGAGGACAGAGTGGAACTGCCCCACCGGGTTTCCAAGGCTGTCAATCTTTACAGAAGCAAAGCCCAAACCACACCCACTGCCGTGGAGTCGATTCTGACTCACAGCGCCCCTAGAGGACAGAGTGGAACTGCCCCACAGGGTTTCCCAGCCTGTAGTCTTTACTCAGTAGAGCAGAGCTGCTGGTAGGTTGAAATTGCCAACCTTTTGATTAGCAGCTTAGAACTTAACCACTGAGCCACCGGGGCTCATCTCCCATGAAGATGACACCCTTGGAAGCCCCGTGGGACAGTTGTACTCTGTCAAATAGGGGTCACTATGAGTCAGAATCAACTTGACAACGTAACAACAACAACAATGTGTGCAAGCAAAGCTAGAGTTTATTTTTGTAATCACTCTGGAAGGTAGAATTGGGACCAATGGTTACATGTTCAAGGAGAGAAAGTAAAACCACAAAATAGGAACCGATACTTAAAATGAACACAAGAAACAAAGGATCAGTAGTCACGCCATGTAAAGACTTTCTATAAATCAAAAGGAAAAAAATGGAAAAATGAGCAAGAGACAGGAGCCTTTTAGAATAGGAAACTTAACTGATTGATAAAGCTGCTCAAAGATGTATAACCTGATTAGAAATCAGAGAAATGCAAATTAAGATCCCAGTGAAACTGTGTTATACCCACTACACCAAAAAAACCAAACTCACAGCCATCGACTCATAGTGACCCCCATTGGGTTTCTGAGGTGGCAAATCTTCACAGAAGTAGATTGCTCAGTCTTCCTTCTGTGGAGTGGCTGGCAGTTTTGAACCGCTAACCTTCTGGTTAGCAGTCAAATGCCTTACAACTCTTGGTAAGTATATAAGGAGCTCTGGTGGTGCAGTAGTTAAAGCATTCAGCTGCTAACCAAAAGGTCAGCAGTTTGAACCCACCAGCTGCTCTGTGAGAGAAAGATGAGGCAGTCTGCTTCCGTAAAGACATAAGGCCTTAGAAACTCTATGGGGCAGTTCCACTCTGTCCTCTAGGGGCGCTGTGAGGCAGAATGGAATCCACAGCAGTGGGTGTGGTTTGGGCTTTGCTTCTGTGAAGATTAACAGCCTTGGAAACCCTCTGGTGCAGTTCCACTCTGTCCTCTAGGGGCGCTGTGAGTCAGAAT